GGGGTGAAACCGCAGAAACGGAACAGCCACTATCTCGTCGGGCACGGGATACACATGCCTGATGAAAAATGAAGTTGAATGCTAACGTGAAACAGTTGATGATTAAAGTGTACGATTTTTTCCGTGCTGAAGCCGAAAGGGACAAACCATTTTATGTCATTAATACATTCCGTAAGCTGGCAGCAAAAGCTTTAGGAGTATCAGCAAGGGGTACTGACAAATGTTCTGGAACACAAACATTGTGAGGGTGATGCGAAGCAGGTAGGGGTCGTGTCAAAATCACACAAAAAACATTTGGCCAACTTTCAAAAGAACCTTGTAATGCAGTCTATCAACAAGCTCTATTCTGAAAACAAATACATTTCGCTGAAGATTTTAAAAAGCATTTGAAGCAAGAACACAACCTCAGAGTATCAAAGTACACACTCCGGCGACTCTTACACTCCTTCGGGTATCGTTATAAGAAAATTCCTCGGGGAGAATAGGTCAGTACTCTGTGAACGCCCTGATATCGTTCGCTTGAGAAATAATTTTCTCAGGGTTATAAAGAAGAAGCGCGAGGAAGGGTTCGAGCCAGTGTACTTGGACGAGACCTGGGTCAATGCCTCGCACACTGCCAGCAGTCAGTGGGTACCCGATGGGGGTGATAAGGGGTCACGTAGAAAGCTGCCTCTAGGGAAAGGAGAGAGACTAATCATTCTCCATGCTGGTTGCTCCAGCAAACAAGTTGGTACCAGCTCTACCAGAGAATTTTTATCGTAATGGACAATGACCCATACCACAGCGTGCAGGACCCCGACAGTAAAGCCCCGACATCGAACAGTCGAAAAGGTGATATGATATCATGGCTCGACAAATTTCAGATCGCACGGCCTTCAAAGGCAACGAAGCCTCAGCTATATGAGATCATAAAAACCCACAAAGGTGAACCTTTCTACAAAGTTGACAGTTACATAAAAAGTAAGGGTCACGATATTCTGCAACTTCCACCCTATCACTGTGACCTTAACCCCATTGAAATGATATGGGGTATTGTCAAAGGAGATGTTGCCAGATCAAACACAACTTTTAGATTACGTGACGTAGAGGTTTTGGTTCAGGAATCCCTTAACAAAATCACGACTGAAACTTGGCAAAACTGTGTCAACAAGGTAGCTAAAGTCATTGAACAAGGTTACTGGTCTCGGGATGGCTTACAACAGGCAACTGTGGCACCACTTGTCATCCCTTTAAGTTGTGACTATGACACTACGACAGACGAGGAACCGACAGGTCTCCCGGAATAGATTTTGAGATGTCCCCGCCATGACTGGCTGTTCCGTTTCTGCGGTTTCACCCCGCCGCGACAGATAACAACTTTTGCGTTTTGAATGATGATAGTTTCTTAAACAACTTTTTTGGTGGAGTCCGGAAAATTTTCAAATATAAGAAAGCTGTTGGGTATTAGTAAATGATAAACATGTGTACTATTTATATTTATGTGGCAATTTTGTACAATGATAAAATTTGCAATTCATCGGTCCGTTTCTGACTCAAACGGACTGTAGTGTTGGATCACCAATCTAGGGTTGTGTCTGATCTCTGATAACTCCAGGTACCTACAAGCCCCTTTCTTCTTCGATACAACAGTGTTTGACTACAAAATTGAAAACCCTATTGTTTCTGTCTAATTGTAATCAACGCAAAACCAGCTGAACAATGCCAAATCCTTGGTAAAACTGACAAAAATATTTGAAGATTAAAATCGGTTTAAACATGTTTAGATCATGACGATGATTACATAATTTTCAGTTGGCATATGTAAACAGTTTGAATTCAAAGTCATTGACTGCACTAGGAAAAACGAATATAGACATTTGTGAAACTGGTAGGTTTCACCATTACATCTTGACGGATAGTTTCTTTAATGTATTTCTGAAAATGAACCTGGCTAGCTATTCTCGAAACGTTCGTATCCCTACGAAATTCTTAAGCCCATTCTTAACACATTGGCTACGATCAAAGTTCAGAATTCTTAGAGCTATGAACGTTTCGAGAATAAGGGCCCTGGTTCCTTTCAGCTATTTATACGTGAACTTTTCACAGTTGATATGTCATGGATATGATTCGTTTAACTGTATTAGTGAGTAAGTATACTTTTACGCCGCATTTAGCAATATTTCAGCAATATCATGACGAGTGACACCACAAATGGGTTCACTCATTGTACCCATGTGGGGAATCGAACCCGAGTCTTCGGTGTGATAAGCGAATGCTTTAACCACTAGGCTACCCCACCGCCTCTGTTCTTTCTACTCATGTGGGTACAATGTGTGAAGCCCATTTATTGTGTCCCCAGTCGTGATATTGCTGGTATATTGATAAAAGCGGCGTAAAACTAAACTCACCCACTCACTCTTTCTACCAATGATAAGCACGCGATGAAGGAGAAGACAGATTGGCTGCTTGGAACACTGAATCAAGGACTTGAATCGTGAACAACGTACAACAAGAAGGAAACTTAAATCAACTGGAGTAACTATAAATCCGATATATGACTACAATTCTTTACTGGGAAGAACTCAATTTGTAAGTGAACAAGAAGGGCTAATTATGTGCTAATAAATGTTACCCAGACGAATGTAGGTTCATGCAGGGCTTGTTAATTACTAGTTTTACATACATATCTGTGATATTCTAGTTGTTTTACTGTCCTTCGTCGGCAGGTTTTTTATAATATACATATATTTCATTTCAATATCAAATGTTCTCGTCACGATATGGCTGAAATATTGCCGATGTGACGTTAAATATTAACTCACTCACTCACTCACTCATGCATGGCTTGTCATGTTCTTATGGAACCGGTTCGTGTAGCCGCCACACTATGACATTACTTAAACGATTGACTTAACAGTTGTAATAATGAATCGATGCTAAAACACATCACTGAAATGAATAGAAAGGGATTCGTATCAAGTAGTAAATGTACTAAAAGTAGTGCATGCGCACTACACAAATGTACTGTAGTGAATATCAGAAGACAGTTTGCAGAATTATTCATACAAAATGTATTCATACATGTAGGTAGACGTTATGTAAATTCTTGATGCCGACACAGCACTCTTTTTTTGTAAAATGGCAAAAATTAATATTTATTCCTAGTGACATTCTCTTTCATCATATTTATGTAACAGACAGTGTCTCGCCAATAAAATGGTGTAAGAATCGTCCTTCATTGTGAAACAATGTACAGTTTTCATAGGATTTATGAGAAGAAACTTCCTGTGTTTTTTTAAAAAACGTGAACGGGTTATATTAAACATAAATTCATATGGATGACATTGCCATGAGGAAACCAAACTGATATTTTAAAAGATGTGTAGATTATACCCGGAGACATATGACTAACGTGGTCATTTTTCAGATTCAATAGGATTTGAGTTTAAGGTCTTCTTATCAAAGGAAATTGTCCAACCTCCAATATGAAGTCATGTAAATTCTAGGAATATATTCTGAACACCCCGATGTAAACATTATTTCTGCAACCTTTTACATACATTGACACATGTCTCCATGTCAGACCAAAGTTATAAAGTGGTACTTGTTGTTGCCTTGCCTTCACCTCGGCATTGACCGGATGAATCAATGGCATTCGTCGGTGCGGAGAGTCTCAGTAATTGCATCAATGTTAATACTTCAGCATACCAGCATTCTCGCACACACGTGCCTACATTTCTCTGTACACGAGCAATGGTGAGTGGGTATGGTTTTACGCCGCATTTAGCAATATTCCAGCAATATCACGACGGGGGACACCAGAAATGGGCTTCACACAATGTACCCATGTAGGGAATCGTACCACGACCAATAATCCTGAAGACGACCTACCTCACCATGAGATATATACAGTAAACTTCGGTTGTAACGAACTCAAATCGACCACTTATTTTAGTTTGTTATAAAAATAATTCGTTATGAGAAGTTAGATATATGAAATAATTTGTTTGTAAAAAAATGCATCAAATTACCGGGAAAAAAGAGTTCGTTATATCCGTCAAGCTTGTTCGATATAAACGGACTTTTATGTAATGTAAAACTGATGGCTTCAGGTACTACAAATGTAAATTTATCAGGCAAAAAACACATCAACATCTTGCATAAAAAGGTGTCAAATAGTAGTCCGTACACCCCACGTCTCTCAGTGGTGTAGCAAGACTCATAAAAGAATACTAGTAGCGACATTTTATGCTAATCATTTCAGTTCACTTATTGAAAATAAGAATTAGAATTGATCTTCAGTAATCCATGCTTGTTGTAAGAGTCGACTAACGGGATCGGGTGGTCAGACTCGCTGACTTGGTTGACACATGTCATCGTATCCCAATTGCGTAGATCGATGCTCATGCTGTTGATGACTGGATTGTCTAGTCCAGACTCGATTTATTTTCACTCACTCACTTTTGAAAATAACGTCAAGTTGGAAAGCAGTAACGCTGTCCCGAATTGCCTACTTACTCTGGTCCAGAGGGGCGAAGGTGTTACGTAAATTTAAGTAAAATTGTATTCAGGTCAGGGACTACAAGCTCAAAATGTGTCAACGACGAGTTTTCACACTTTAGAGATTTTTAATATAATAAGTAAAAGTCATGAATTTTACAGATTTAACAACAATTTAAAATTTGATTTCATTTACTGTTTGTTTGACAATTCCACATGATCTGTATGTGGCAATTATGAAACGTGTGTCAGGTCGAATACTCGAGCTCCTGTGACCAGATGAACAGATAGTCTGTACAAATAGCTGTGATAAATCTGTCAAAGATATACACCTTAAGACCTGAACCGTGAAGCTGTGTTTTGATTGATATCCCTGTGAAGTGGTGTCCGGCGAGAACAGAATATAAATCTGGAATCTGCGAGTTCACACAATCCGGTCTCCGCCGGGGCACGTGACAGACTGTGTGTATTTATTAATGGTACAGCGGCAGAGCCGACGCACCAACACACAAGCATCGACGATGGATGGGGAGTACAGCATCTACACGGGTGTTAAGAAAACCTTTGGAAACGTCGACTATGTCTTTTTCGGTTCGTTGTTAGCTGTTTCAACAGGTATTGGTGTATTTTACGCTTTTAAAGACAAACATAACGTGAACAGCAAGGACTATCTATTGGGTGGGCGGAAAATGAATGTCGTGCCCGTGTCGTTGTCAATTCTTGTTACATCTTTCTCGGCAACAACGTTGTTGGGAATGCCTGCGGAAGTATATAATTATAACACTATGATTTGGTGGTTGTGTATCTCCGCCATGATCGGCCTCGTCATTTCATCTATAGTCTTTGTTCCCTTCTTTTACAACCTGAACGTCACAAGCATCTATGAGGTAAGACCATTGTGTCTGAATTATTACTTTTGTTATGCATGGTGTTGATATTATTATATATTACAACTTCATTGTGTCATATAGCGAGGGCATGACCACGGAAGAAGGAAGTTTTATCCACTTTTACCAATTTTGTGTAATATATATTGTTTATCGAAGCAGTTAAGCAAAATGTCTTGCATCAGTCTGTCACAGGTGTAATATGTAGGGACAATGGGGTAGTCCAGTGGTTACAGCGTTCGCTCGTCACGCCAAGGTCCCGATTCGATTCCCCACATGGGTACAATGTGTGAAGCCGTTGTCTGGTGTCCCTCGCCGTGTTATTGCTGGAATATTGCTAGAAGTGGCGTAGAACCAAACTTACTCAAATATTTTACAGTCATCTACTCTGAAACCCTATGAAGATGTTTCTGTTGTTCTTCTTATGCAATATAAATGTTTTTCAATGAAATTGCACTCCCAGGATTTAAAGAATTTCGTTAGAATGAGTCCATGCAGTTTAACAAATCCCTTAAGAATTGAGAGGAGAAAAACTATATGAATGTCAAAGCTGTGGAGGAGAAACTTCGGGTAGATGACACTTATTATAAGTTTTTAGAATTTTTGTTTGCCTTCTCATGCAACCAGTTAACGTCAATTATTTGGTCTAAATGTATTTGTTGGGGATGAACCACATTGTCGTGACGCCATTTTGTTTATAAAATCACGTTTTTCAGTATCTCGAGATGAGGTTTGGAACGGAAGTGCGGGTACTAGGGTCGACTCTATTCGTCATCAAAGTGGTAGGTTGTTCTCGGTTTAGCGTACACGTGCAGAACCGTGGCAAACAAAAGACTACCTGAATCTCAGAGAATACAGAATTCGAGTTAGATGTAACATTCTTAAACATATAATTGGAACATATGTGGTAATGGTAAAGGTCTGAAGGTTATTTCCAAATTTTGATTTAAAACAAATGTGCCCAATGTAATTCCCTGGGGTTTTTTCCTGTACCATATCTTCTCAGTATTTTTAAGTGGTGAAACATTGCCTGGCTCTTGCATGTGTTTGTGACCTGTTACAATGGAGACACAATGCAGGCTCACTTTTAACTGGTGTCATCGCTATTTGATAGTGACTATATAGGTCAATGCTTTTGATATCGTTCGAATCGTTCAACGAAGTGTGCTTTTAGTAAATATTTCTTAGATAATGCAATGTTTTTTCAACTCTTCTCGCTGAGAGTGGCAATAATGCAACATCATTTTAGAGTTGTTCTTCGCATGGCAAATATTAATACAGATTTGAGATGCAACACTCTGCCGGTGTGTTCCCCTGTTTTCATTATATAAGTTCGTCAGCAGCGACTATAACTTAATTTTCTCTCACGAAATACATTTAAACTCCACTTCTATCCAACTATGTGTTTTATTTTCAGTTGCTGTACATCTCCTTTGTCTTGTACGTCCCATCTCTTGCACTCAGCGCAGGTAATAACATTAGACACGTATGCCACGAAGTGGAATTTACAGTTCAACTTTACTGCAGTCGTGTATATCAACAATAAAACTTTCAGTCAGAATAAAATAGTAAGTGTGCAGTATTTCATGACAGTTTCGTGACTGTCAACGTCAACTTCGTAGGTTTCCTCATTTCAAATGATGAACTGCGTGTAGAGAAACGTAACGGTTTTCGGTACAAGGTGATACTGTTATGTCCCTGTCCCTGGCGGTTACTTGGTAATAATTTAGTCAGGTTATGGTAGACATGCATACAGAGAAATGCAAAACGTGTTCGTAGATGTTTACTATTTGAGAAACATTGGAAGTACATTCCAAAGGTGTTTGTCGTTCTTTAATAAATGGGAAGAATCGTGGTAAATGCTTATTAGGAAACATTTAAAAAAATATATTCATGTATGGCGTTGTGTATTCGCATATTCATAACGTATAGACCTTAACCGTTAATATTATATTCTGATAACAAAGTATATTAAACGGGTGAGGATCACGTCAAATTTCATGAAGGGTGTAAATGTTCAATATCTACAAGAAAACGTTAGATTGCCGAGCGAAAGAAAGTATGCACCTAAATACTGGATTTATCCACTGAATTGCGAACGAGCGTGAAAAGAGACGCCGAAACTATGCAAGTGAAGGTCAAAAACACGACCGAAGATGGATGCGGGTTGCGATTTTGAATGTTTAATGTTGAATTGGACTGATGGAAGAGCATTGTTACAAGAATGAATAATATACTCATGCCAATAATGGTTGTCAACCCCTTCAATCTTTTTCATTGGAGAGGGGGGTGTGGGGTTGGGTTGGGGCTGTGAGGTGTGTGTGGGGTTGGGATGGGGAGGGGGTGACAACCATTATTGGCATGAGTATATTTTTCGCGTAGTGCACTGGTGTGTTGATCCTTCTGTAAGACGAATACTTATTTTCTTTATCCCTAACAGCAACTGAATTCAGCTTATGGGGTTCTGTAGCGGCCGTAGGGACGGTTGTGACTGTCTACACAACAATAGTAAGTGATAGCCAAGTACTTTGGAGGGATATAAGGCATACATTAGTCTGTCTCACAGTCCCTGAACAACATTATTTTCCCTACTGCCTAGCCCTCTCTGCAGTGCTAAAGCCCTAAATAAAGCAAGTCTAGATTTCCTCAGGTTCTGAATCTCTGGTCTCCCTAGGGCTCCTTTTCAATATAAATGGGCTTGTTTGTTACTATCCAAATTATATATATTCAGAGACTAAGCCTTAGTCTAGGCATACATCTACAGTCCTAAATAACATGTTAGGGAAATGAAATAACAGGGTACGTGTGGTTTAACGCCGCTTTGAACAGCATTTCAGTTATGTGCCTTTGAAGTGGAAAACTCGAAGTAAAACATTATCGTATTGTATTCATTTGATCTACTGATCACCAGTCGCCATATGGCTGAAATATATGAGACGTTTAATTTTAACTTACTAGTTCACCATGGATTTGTTTGTTTGATGTTTAACGTCACACTCAGCAATATTTCAGTTATATGGCGGCAGTCTGTAAATACTCGAGTTTGGAGCAAAACATCCAGTGATCAACATGATGAACATCGATCTTAGCAATGGGGATACGATCACCAGGTATCAACACTATTTCACAGTGATTTAAAATTTTCCGATAATAGAGGTACTAACTTGTGAGCGGTAGCGTAGTTTACAAGTACAGACATAAATATCAACGTGTTGAGGTTAATGGCACGCTTTTTGCCCTCTCATCATGACACGGAAGTAACATGATGGAAACGTATTTCGGGGTGCTTTCATAGGAGGCAGTAGCCCTGTTTTTTCGTTGATGGGTATAACGGTCGAGAAGGTAGCGGCTGATGGTAATCACGTGACAGGTTTCGGCTGATTGATAGAAACGTTTTTAGGGCTTGTTTACGTTTTTGTTTGACCCTGTTGGATATATAGGTCGATATGTACTGTTAGTCTAACAGTAACTGTCATTATTAACTTGTTTTTGTTCTAGGGTGGGATGAAGGCAGTCTTATGGACGGACACGTTCCAGTCTGTGATTATCGTGGGAGGTCTGACAGGTGCATTGGTCCAAGGATCAAACGCCGTAGGGGGCATTTTCGAGGCATGGAGGGTAGCTGATGAGCGCTCTAGGATTTATCTAACAGAGTATATAATCACCATTATGTTGTATAATATATGTTTACTGTATATCTTTAATTCACTGCTGTATTACGTAATCCATATGTATTTCTTTGGCTTTTCCTTCTATTTTGTTTTGTAGCTTTTTGTAGCGGGTGTTATTTATTTGTTCTGGTTGTGGTGTTATTTGTTTGTCTGTCTGTTTGACAGTAGGTCTGTTTACTTGCCTTGTGTTGTTGGGTTTTATTGTTTTGTGCATAACCTTTTTTTACTTTGGATGTGAGTGTGGAGGGGGGCGGGGGCTATGAGTTTGCTGCTTGTCTTTCCTGAATTCTATTTGTTGTTTCATTTTCGTTTTGTTTAGTTTGGGGGCTTTTATTATTGTTGGCTTTATATCTTATTTTTTTTTTTTTTTATTCATTTTCATTCGGAGTGGGTGGGGGTGGGGGTGGGGGTGGGTTACGCTCTGCTTCCTTCTATATCTCTTGTGTATGTTGTATATTGAATCTGTCCCGGACAAACCATTTATGGGTGTTCGGAACAATATGTGTTGCCTTTGGGGTTCGTTCCTAGCTGTTAGAGGTCTTCAGAGCGGAATTCAAGTTAACCACCTTTCAAGTTAAAGGCTTAGGTTATCATCCGAAACGTTTTCAATGATAGTTGTGTGTAACCTATATTAATTCAGGCAACACTTGAACCATGCCTGAGTATGATATAGATAATAGGTGTGAAAATTTGAACAAGTTCTATTAATATCATGACTGACACAGAAATTGTCGACTCAGTATAATTTAGTTGTCCTAAGATGTAAGACTTGTACGCAATTTTAAGCATGTGCTGTGGAAAGTATGTTTGAATGAAAAAATGGCCGGCGCACCCTTTCTGATGTTTTGCCATCATCTTCTACAGCTTCAACCTTGACCCTTCTACTCGCCATTCATTCTGGTCTCTAGTGCTGGGCGGAGGCTTCATCTGGATAAGCCTGTTCGCAGACCAAGTTCAAATTCAACGTACCATGTCATGCCCCTCTGTAAAGACAGCAAAACTGTAAGTGTACTTGTTCAGGGAAAAAAACTGTAAGTTTATGTGTTTACAGCAAAACTGTAAGTGTACTTGTTTAGAGAAACATGTTGTAAGTTTACGTGTTTACAGCAAAACTGTAAGTGTACTTGTTTAGAGAAAAATGTTGTAAGTTTACGTGTTTACAGCAAAACTGTAACTTTACTTGTTTAGAGAAAAATGTTGTAAGTTTACGTGTTTACAGCAAAACTGTAAGTGTACTTGTTTAGAGAAAGATGTTGTAAGTTTACGTGTTTACAGCAAAGCTGTAACTTTACTTGTTTAGAGAAAGATGTTGTAAGTTTACGTGTTTACAGCAAAACTGTAACTTTACTTGTTCAGAGTAAAATGTTGTAAGTTTACGTGTTTACAGCAAAACTGTAACTTTACTTGTTTAGAGAAAAATGTTGTAAGTTTACGTGTTTACAGCAAAACTGTAACTTTACTCGTTTAGAGAAAAAAGTTGTAAGTTTACGTGTTTACAGCAAAGCTGTAACTTTACTTGTTTAGAGAAAAATGTTGTAAGTTTACGTGTTTACAGCAAAATTGTAAGTTTATTTGTTTACAGCAAAATTGTAAGTGTACTTGTTTACTGGAAGACTGTAAGTGTACCTGTTTACTGAAGACTGTAAGTGTACTTGTTTACTGAAAGACTGTAAGTGTACCTGTTTACTGAAACACTGTAAGTGTACTTGTTTACTGAAAAACTGTAAGTGTACCTGTTGTTTATTCAGTGACTGTTAACAAAACCGTCCCTGGGTTGTTGTTTCTGTTTGTTGTTTTTTGCATCTATATTCATTCATGTTCTTGCACGCCCATCCTAGTCAATAGGTGTCAATAGATGTCAATCAGTGTCAATCCGTGTCCATCTGACGGTGCATAGTGGCATTGATAATGGAAGATTGTTTATTAATGATGATAATAATACATGGAGATCTTATTTCAGGTCCATGTTGATTTGTGCACCATTCCTGTTTATGATCATGTCCATATGTTGTTTGATGGGTGTGATCATGTTTGCCTTCTACAAAGACTGCCATCCCGTTGGTTTCAATAACCTCATATCAAGGACTGATCAGGCAAGTATTTATTATAGGAGCGGTTCAAAGCGTCATGGTAAAGGCGTTGGGGAAGGTCCTTGGCCGATACATGACTGGAGTAATGTTATGAGCGGCCAACATATTCGCTCAGTTTGTTCTTGTCCGTAGTGTCCTATACAATGGTGAATTCCATACATTTATACTGGGGCCGCATTGGTTGCAATCAGTGGTTTGGGGATTTATTATTTGTTAAGTATTCCAGAAAACTTTTCTAAGGAAACTCATTAATCCCATATCTAAACCTGACACATTTCGATAGCACACAAGTTTTAGCAACATCATAAAAACATTTCCTTGTCATATGTGTATGTCTTTAATGGACTTCTGGTCCACCTTCAGATCCTGCCACTGTACATAATGGACATCCTGGGTCACCTCCCTGGCGTCCCTGGTATATTTATCTCCTGCATCTTCAGTGGTAGTTTGAGGTACGTGTTTGTCAACACCAAGTCTATCCGCTAGACTTGTAAATCATCTAAACCCAAAATGTCATGTGGATCAGAACATAAAAGATGAAAAGGAAGTCATATTCTGTAATAAACTTTACGAGATTAAGGGAGGGATTGTTTGGAATCCACCTTTCATGTCGTGCAATATACCATAAGCTCGTGCTTATTATATGTTCACTTCAGACACGTTTGGACTGACGTTAACAGGAATTTCTTCCCGTGTTCCGTCAAGTGATATATCCCGTTATATAATCTTTATATGGCATTTTCACACCTCTGTTCTGGCGTGTTTTAACAAATAAAAGTTTTATGGGTGCCGCGTGTTAACGGTGGAACGGAACATGTTGCTGACGTGAATAATGTTTTATAATCTTCTTCCCTTTAACAGCTCACTTTCCTCTGCTTTGAACGCCCTGGGAGCTGTCATACCACGTGACTTAATTCAGCCATGTTGCTGTGGCCGGATCAGCGACAGATACCTTACAATCATGTCCAAACTTGTGGGTAGGTCGCGCCATTGGGATAATCGTTAATCAACACACATTACATATCGATTTAAGCGCGTAATGAAAACAAACGTAGAAAACAGTTAAAAAGTACAATAATGCAACTCTCGAATTATCTCAGTACAGGTTTAATACATGTCTTAATGCCCGTTTGTGTTAGTGTGCTTGATTAAGAAATTACTATTGTGGCGTTTTACTGGAGTATGAACGCTCTGAACCGGGCAAGTAAAAGAATATTTCAACCCGATTATACTCCAGTAAACCGCCACAATTTCTTACAAATTCGAATTTTGAAGTTTAAAGGGTGCCAATTTGACCGTGGCACTCATTTAAGACGATTTCTGTGACCGGTTACATTGAAAGGCATTTGAATGCAATGACGGGGCGGTGGGTGGGGTTAGTGGTTAAAACGTTGGCTCGTGACGTCGAAGACCCGGGTTTGATTCCCCACGAGGGTACAATGAGCGAAGCCCGTTTCTGGTGCCCCCTGCTGTGATATTGCTGGAATATTGCTGCGTGAAACTGAACTCATTCACTCACTTAATGCTGTGACCCAATGTAACGGGTATATTCTTCACACTTACGCAAAACAAAGTAGTTCTACTTCCATTAACAAATACAAGCCTGACTAAATTTCAACGCGAGTGAAATGTATTAATATAACATGATAAATTACTCTAAGTTAACATACATTGCTTGTTAGACCATTGTTGTATGCATTAGCATATATATGGGACACTTTGCGCATGAATACGTCTGTGCGAAAAACATTCAAAATGGAGACTAGGACGAAGTCATCGCCTCTCACTACACCTATTGCCAGATTAATTGGGTCTTGGATTTTACATATTGAATGCTACATACCTCGTGACACCTGATTGGAACTGGGACTGGACGTACATTGCTTGGTTGCGAATGTGTAAATAAGCATTTTAATGAAAAGTTGTGTGAAAAAGGAACGTCAATTTATTGTCCGACATTGTCGATCCTCACGACCGTGGTGATCGTGGAAGACAACAGAGAGTTGTTCCACTCGAGGATTCACCATGAAACATAGTTCCGGTCAAAAGTCGTGTAAACAAAACATGTGCATACTTGTAGTTTGTAAACGTCACTTTTTGAAGACTCTTGCCAAATGAACTGATCACCTGATCAGCAAGTGAGCCGATCAGATCGTTAAAATTACGTACACTTCAAACTAAGAATTTATTTGTTGTTTTACTCCGCAGTCAGCTAACAGACGCTGATATATTCTTAATTCCGCACACATTTTGGTAAAGGAATTTTATATTTTGCCTCCATTTCAGTGCTTGGGTGTGGTTTTGGATCAATTGGTTTGACGTTTGTCGTATCCCGCCTAGGTTCTGTCTTACAGGTTTGTGACAATCATTTGCTTGTTTGTTTGTTTGTTTGTTGTTTAACACCACACTCGGCAATATTTCAGCTATATGGAGGTGGTCTGTAAATAATCGGGTCTGGACCAGACAATCCAGTGATCAACATCATGAGTATCGATCTATGCAATTGGGTTACGATGACATGCCAACAACGTCAGAGAGCCTGACCACCCGATCCCGTTAGTCGGATCTTGCGACAGCATGGGTTACTGAAGACCAATTCTAACCCGGATGTTATGGGTGTGCGCCACATCAATACAGACATGCACTTTCATCCGACTTTCTCATACTTAAGAAATACACTTCGCTCTACCACCATGTATAGTCTGAACTATTATAGTTAAAGCACGAGGACGCTTGCGCTTACGCTTTCTAAGATGCCAAATTTAATACTTTCTAAAGATAATTACGATTAATTTAAGGCAGAAAACAAACGACGGTGTCGGTGACCTAAATTAAGAATCCTCGCACAGGGCTAACTGGCGCGCTGTTCTATTGATGCGTCTGGCCCCTACGTTAAGAGAAACGTCACCAGAAAAAAACAAATGATAACAGTTTGATGACGGTTTACGTTCGGATTAAATATCTTCTCTGAATTATTTTAATTACATCTGTCATTAACGTAAACCATATGGGGCAATATGAACGTTGCATTTCTACTGCCAACGTAAGTTTAGATCAGTACATCCAGATGAAGCTGAGTAGTCAAGCCACATTCCACGATTGCATTGTGGGAATGTAAACATTACGAACGTTACCGTGTCGCTGAAAACTTGTCGAAATGACACATTTTAACCGTCGTAAAACATAAACGTAATGTTTCCACCAGTGATGTTAGCATCGTGACGTCGCTTACATTGCGACGTAATGTAAAATGGTTCGATTACGAGGGGGCACACTAGAATGGCGCATTGACGGGATAACGTCATTCAATTGTTACGTCATCAAAATACTATACCTTTATTGTCTGATAATGTAATTTTTTTTCGATTGTTCTAACCGCTAGACATCTTAGAATAAAGATAACATTTTAAGTGTTTTTATTTTTTTATTTAAAAAGTACCCAATCTCATTTCAGGCCACCTACGCCATAGGAAGTATAACTAATGGGCCGCTGTTTGGCCTCTTCATTCTTGGCATGTTTTTTCCGTCCGCCAATAAAATGGTAAGCAGTCGACTTAGACAGTTCTTATCAAAGTTCGAGTTAAAGAGTCTTCTTGATTTATGTATATTGCAGGTTTATTTTCATTTTCTTTCTCCTTTCAAATTTATAAAGACAGTTTCATCACACATATGTAATTAATTACAATTACATAAAATTCCTTTTTTATAAATATCACGTTAAAACGTGTGAATATGCGTTGCGATGAAAACGGAAAATGAGCTTCCTTAACACATACAGAAATAAATGGTTTTCATTGTCAACCATTTCGGGTTTTTTTGGACATTGTAGGGGGCATTTGTAGGGTCTGTGACGTCACTGATAATAATGACGTGGATAGGGATGGGAGCGTTCATTACACGCGCGGCGTACACCCCTGTCTCCAGTGTGTACACTGACGGCTGCAACTGGAACGTCACAACCCCGGCTGAAGCAGATATGTTCAGTACAACTCCAATGCCTACCACAGTGAATGCTTCAAGTGCCACAGAACTCGATACTGTAGATAATAGGTAGGTATGCATCAGTACTTAACCCTGCCAAATGAGTGTGACAACATCGCCCCAACTCGACTGGAAGTCCATTATGAGTAATATGTAAACATGAGACGTCGTGTTTTACAATGATCCTCTGTGGGTCTTTCTCAGGACACTTTAATGTCCTGCTAATTAACACTGACAACTGTCATCATTAAACTTTTATCAATAGCTTGAAATCTTTATTTAAAAATTCTCTTCTTCAGCAATGGCTTGCTTCGGTTATACTCCATGTCGTATATGTGGTACATGCCTGTTGCTGTTATTGTTGAAGTCATCGTTGGATTGATCGTTAGCTACCTCACAAGTAAGTACTGGCAGCAACTTGAAATCTTAAGAACAATATGGAAAATATATTCATCAATATTTATTAGCGAATAATGCTAAAAATTGATCCAGTAATCGTATATTGAAGTGATCTCAGTTTTTTAGTGAATGCGTGTGATATTTGTTTTTATTGTTGAAATATGTAAATAGTTAGAGTTAAGATACATAAAGTGCATGTGTTTGTTTTTATTTCCAGAGCCTCTTTTTAAGCAGCAGTTAAATCCAAAGTTGATTTGCCCGCTGTTTGACTACCTTTGCCCGTGCCTTCCAGAAAAACTCAGAGCCTATTTCCAAAATAGACAAGTATGTGTCTGACATCTCAAATAACATGAAATTACCCTTATATTAAGATTATCTGTCTGTAACCAAGCGTCAGTCTTGTGGGAGGTTTTACGCCGCTTTTAGCAATACTTTTGCAATATCACGGCGGGGGACACCAGAAATGGGCTTCAATTATTGTACCCATGTGGGGAATCGAACCCGGGTCTTCAGCGTGACGAGCAATCGCTTTAACCACTACGGTACGCCACTGCCCCAGCGTCAGTCTAAAGGGGAGGGGAATATTATTTTTAAATACATCACAAGAAACAGGTCAAAACTCCCTTTGTCTACTGGTCAGGACCCACTTGCACAAAGCGATCTTAGCGCTGCGTGATCGTAACTCCCATACTCTAACATAGACTTAAGACGGTCTTAGCGCTGCGTGATCGTAACTCCCATACTCTAACATAGACTTAAGACGGTCTTAGCGCTGCGTGATCGTAACTCCCATACCCTAACATAGACTTAAGACGGTCTTAGCGCTGCGTAATCGTAACTCCCATACTCTAACATAGACTTAAGACGGTCTTAGCGCTGCGTGATCGTAACTCCCATACTCTAACATAGACTTAAGACGGTCTTAGCGCTGCGTAATCGTAACTCCCATACTCTAACATAGACTTAAGACGGTCTTAGCGCTGCGTGATCGTAACTCCCATACTCTAACATAGACTTAAGACGGTCTTAGCGCTGCGTGATCGTAACTCCCATACTCTAACATAGACATAAGACGGTCTTAGCGCTGCGTGATCGTAACTCCCATACTCTAACATAGATTTAAGACGGCCTTAGCGCTAAGATCGCTCTGTTTAAGTAGACATAATAGGCAATACTATTTTCAGTTGACGAATGGAACGTTTCAATCTACATTTGTGGCTATTACAACGTTAAAGCCATTAGTCCAAATACAATCATATATTGTTGCTTGCGAGTCCATTTTCTGTAAGTTAGAAATATATATTTACACCCAGAATCGTCTATGTTTCAGTCACATGACACTTCACAGACATATTCGGACCACAGCTGCTGCAGAGGCTGGGATGAGCATCGCAAGTGTGACTGCAACTGTGTCGTTGATCATGGGCTGTTAGACACCTTCTTAGAAATGAATGAACTGACACCTCGACCATTTCATGTTGTATAGTACCTAGGGTGTTGTCGTCATCGACCACTGTTATTTATGACTTAGCTATAAATATAATCAAAAATCTTTCACACTTGAAAATGTTATTCCAATGAGACGCATATCATATCATGATTGTTCATCACCTAAAAATCACAATGCTTTAAAGGTGGAATTCAATTGATAAAATTAAATAATACTTGTATGAGGTACAAGTTTGTGCTTATAAGAATTTTCTGAAAAGCTTAACATTATGTCGAGTGTATTTCTATTTCTATAAATGTGTTAAAATGTAATAACCTGCACGAACAAATAAATCATGATAAATGTCATCCTTTGATCTAAGTGATACCGATTTAGTTTCAAAAGAAATTCCTAACTGATATGTGTCATTGAAAGAGCAACAAATATTTTAGGAATACTTACATCTTGCATCTGACAGAGGAACTACTCTCAATGTTAACATTTCATATCAGAAAGATAATGGTCTCAAGGCCAATTTTTCATGCGGTTCTTTAATAACCATCCTTAGTCTCGGTTGTTTGTGTCATGGTATTTATTTTGGTCTGATTCCTTTGGAAGCGTATTAGTGTCGCAACTGTTTTAGGAAAACTTACATCTACGTAGAAAATACTTTCTTGTCTCCAAATATCATATTACAATCGTGCGTATCGACACTGAGGCCATGATGAAAACTGAAATAATGTCATTTAACAAAACTTCAACATTTTTATATGAAAAGTATATTATTTTTTTAAAATAATCACATCTCTGTATCTTTGTATGTTTGAAAGTCATCAAATCGTTATCATCAACTATGCCAAATGATTACATAAAACAGACCCTCAGCTGTTGTTCATTACTCGAGAAAGATGGTTAGAAGTCGCTAACACTTTCTCTTGTAAATAAATATTCTTAAATGCAAATACCATTTCTACAGAGCATCATCTTGGTAGAAGGAAAACACCTCTTGGTAGAATTACCTGTGGGGCGTATACGTTTCCATGGATTCCCATATTTTTCTGCACTAATATCTAATCTACTCTTTGGGTAAACTGTTGAACTTTCATCAAACTAATGTTTTAAGAGTTTTGAATACATTAATCTGCATATGTAATCAGATGCTGTATTCCTGTGTGGATGTCACTGTAGATATTTGATGTGTCCAGTTGTATATATTCTATGCCTGTGTGTGTATTTCGGTGTACCATTGATAAAGACTTTTTTCACTATACATATGCATCGTTTCATGAATAAAATATTTAGAGTGTGTCAAATATATTGTTTTAGTTATACTCGTGTTATTCATGTTGTAACGTGTCTCACGGTCATTCATTTTGGGTAATGGTATCCTATTCCATTATCACCCAACCTAAGTATTAAAAACCAAGGTTAACTACCTTCAAGTAACTTAAACCAAATTAAAATAACGACCAACCTGATATTCAAAGGAATATGGACGACACTTTTGAGCGCAAGTAATTTTCACAGTCTGTAGACAAAGTTCAAAATCTGGAAGTCGAAACCACGCCCCTTGCATGTTGGTGTTATAGTTGGTCACTTCAGTTAATACATGCAGATTGATATGACAACAGAATTCACATTCGTTATCTCCCATCTGTTCCCCTTGTCCGTCCCGCACTGACAACCTAGTCAGCCTGTTAACCACCACAATATGCACTCATTTGCTTTAAAGACAAGGTTAAGTTGGTGAAAATTAATTCTAAACCGGATCCCCGCTGAATCTATATATTCAGGAATTACGCCTGCATGACGTAACTGTAACGGTTCTTGTACAGTGAGTTCCTGTTACTCTTGAAAGGTAACCCTGAATTAATTGTTGTGGTGTTTAGGGCACAAAACAGCTATCAGACTCCTTCATCCATGAAGACATTTGTTTCCCTAGTCTATGAAGGGAATAGATCAAAGAACGTCTGACGGGCAAAATGTCTCAAGCATATTATGCTCCGAATTTATTCAGGTTTAAGCCTTGGGGCTTTTCAAAACTAGACATAAAGACTTACCTTTGCCATCTTCAATATTTTCCAAAGCTTACTTTACATATATTGTGCTTAAAGCTTAATGCATTCCTTTTTGGCCATTGTGGGCTTCAAACTTCTCAATTCTCCATCTTGTTCTGATATAGAGCACACACCACACATAATGTTCTTAATGCTTGTCAATACATATTTCACTAAAATAAATAACTTATGCATTGATGCCAATATTATGTGAGCTGGGATATTGCCATGGTCTGTTAAATGAACAGATCAAAGTACACCTGATGTGCATAATTCTTTCACACATAAATTATTTCTTTTATTTAATGTAGCGCTTTGGTCCCTTTTCGGAAATGGATGGAGAGGCTTATCTTGACATCATCCTTTTTTCAAAGTCCCATTACAGACATTTTTCGTAAAGCCTATTTTAATTCTAATTTATTTCTTTGTGCGGGTTTCAAACGTCTGCATTTCCCTTTTTGTTGTTTTTCGTGTTTTAGAGCACACGAAAGAGACATTGCCCTTAATGCTTTTAATGCTTATTTCACTATTTCAATTTTTGCTGATTTTTCTTACAAAATCAGACAAGGGTTCGTTCTTCGCATCTTATCGTAGGAATATGTATCAGCTATTTATCGAAGTACACTAAAATATATATGTATGAATCGATGCCAATTTGTTTTTACACACATAAACTCAATATCTGAACTGGGATGTTACCGTAGTCTTTTGAATAAACAGATCAAAGTACGCCTGTCGTGCACAATTCTTTCATACATAAAATAAAATTACTTCTCGTATTCAATGTAGAAATTCAATGTCAGCGGAAATAGACAGAAGACTTAACTTTGTCATCTTGATTTTTTTATTTTTTTTGCAATGCGCACATTACATACAATGTTCTTAAAGGTTATTTTAATTCTAATGTATTCCTTTCAGTCATTTGTGGGTTTTCAAACGTCTGCGTTCCCTTATTTATTTGAGTTAGAGCACACGCTACAGACATTGTTCTTAACGCTTTTTAATTTTTATTTCACGTTTCTCATTTTTGCTTCTTTTTCTAATTTTAATTCTAATTTATTCCTTTGTAGACTTGTAAACGTCTGCATTCCCATGTTTGTTTGATTTAGAGCACACGCCATAGACATTGTTCTTAAGGCTTTAAATGAAATTTCATTTCTTTCAGTTTTTGCTTCATTTTTCTCATAAGACATTCATCCGTTCTTCACATCTTATCATAGGAATGTATTAAACCTATTTATTTTCAGTAACCCATGCTTGTGGTAAGAGGCGCCACGTGTCATCGTATCCCAATTGCGTAGATCGATGCTCATGCTGTGAATCTCTGGATTGTGTGGTCAAGACTCGATTATTTACAGACCGCCGCCACATAGCTGGAATATGAACATAAAAACAAACAAAGAGGGCGACGTAACCGTATGATATAGCCCAAGCAAAATTGTAATCTACATGCAAGTATAATTCTTAATATGCGTCAATACAGACGATAAAAAGTCAAACCATTAACAATTTAAATCCACAAAAATCGCATTTAGTATCCGCAAAGGGAAAGAACATGCATTTTTCAGTACAGTAAAGTTGAAGAGTGCGGTGTTAAACTACAGACCAACCAACCAACCAATTATGTGTCATCTAATGTGATGATCTCGGCATGTCTGAAACTGTAACGCAATAGACTCAAAAACCATTGCAGGCATGTTGTTTTTGCTTGTTGCCCAACAGTATGACGTCCTCCAGGTGAATAGAGAGAACGCTGAACGACTATGTCCCAGGGTGTGCACAAGGCAGGCTCACTTAACGACCGTTGACATTTCAGTAATATACAAACGAACGTGACACAGATCGGACACGTTCTGAGAGCAGAAGGTCAATGGTCACAAAAAAGCTAGACACACTCCTAGTTATTTGTTTCTGTCAAAATGATTTAGTTATATTCGGCAATATAGCTATATCATTTTGACAGAAACAAATAACTCCATTTAAACTGAAAGGCGTCACAGCGAGCTCGGAGATTCATTCTGGAGTCAGTCTAGTTTTACCGCGCTTTTAGCAATATTCCATCAATATCACGGCTGGGGACACCAGAAATGGGCTTCACACATGTTGGGAATCGAACCCGGGTCTTCGGCGTGACGAGCGAACACGTTCACCACTAGGCCACAAAAAGCCCCGATTAATTCTGGAACCTCAGGAAATCTGGACATCTTGTAGCCGTTCGCATTAACGGGTGTGCGGAAGGGAAATGTGGTTCACTGACTGTGAGACAGGTACACAGCTTGAAGAGATGTATCTGCGAGCATTCTCCTCTGTCTCTCCTTGGGGGAGATTCTCCTCTCTCATATTTTACAAAATATAACAGTTCGTAAATTACATTCATAAAATATACAACAAACAAAAAGGCGCCCAGAGATTTTCTTTATTTTCAGCCTAAAAAACTCTGGTCGCCTGTGCTGGTGGATTTGAACAAAGTTGATATCGATAATATGTTTATTATGAATATAGCTTTAGAAATATTAAAATTATATAAGCGTAAACTTTATTGTGTGTTTAATGATTTCACTAAAGCCTGTGACACAGTATGGCGCGCAGGGCTGTGGTATAAAATGCTACAAATTGGTATCAATGGCAAATTCTTAACGCTTGTTAAAAATATGTACCATAATATATATGTCGCCTTTCTTTCAATGTAGAAAAGGTGTTAGACAAGGTGAAAACTTATCACCACTATTATTTTCTATTTTTATAAATGATCTTGAATCTTTTTTTTTATTATTTTTTTATTTTATTTCCACTTTTTGGTTACACTTCCATCCGTTTTATAACAACAATACATACACGTACATACATGTATATATGTGCATATACATGTACACAGGACTGTAACTCGTTTAAATGTCATATCTAAGATATTACACTGGCTTGTTGAAAAGTATATGTAGAATCGACCAAAGGTGTCATCGATGTGATCATTTAAATGTCATATTAAGACATTACACTGGGTTGCTGAAAAGCATGTGTATAGACGACCAAAAGGCATGAAAGCTTGCTTTTTAACAGTTTGAGAATGCTGTACATTTTGTTACCTGGTAGTATCTATATATTCCTTGTTGTAAAGGTTTGAAATTTGGTTTGAT